AGGACCCCGATCACTGAAAATTTTTGTACAAAAATTGTTAAGAAGAAATAAAGATTATTATTATTATTATTATTATTATTATGTATTATCAGGTTTTTGTCACAATCCATTGTCAATTTACAATGGAGTAAGACAGGCGTGAGGGACTCGATGGCGCAGCGAAAGTGGTTAGCGCGTTCGGCGTGTGATCGTGAAAGCTAGGCAACTTTCGTATTGGTCGGTCATTGGACGGGTGGCCAAAAACTTATCTCGATCTCCTACGTGCTTCGGAAGGCACGTTAATCCGTTGATACCGGCTGCATCTCACTCGTTCGCACCCATCAATCCGCACTGCCCCCGCGTGGTGGGTCACGGTATCTCCCTATTCCTTCTATAGCGAATACCTGTGCCCCAGCAGTGGGGACATTAATAGGCTGTGATGATGATGATGATGACAGACGTGATAAAAATCATATCGCGAGCTCCATACTCTTAGGACAGTCTGATTTGGAACCCCCTTATTATAAGCGATAAATGAATTTGAACTAATTAGCTACATACCTAGTGTTGTGTTCACACTTTGATCAAATAAAAAATAGTATAATCTACTATATAAAAATAAGTCGGGTTTTCCTTCCTGACGCTATAACTCCAGAACGCACGAACCGATTTCCACGGTTTTGCATTCGTTGGAAAGGTCTCGGGCTTTGTGAGGTTTATAGCAAAGAAAATTCAGGAAAAATTTCAAAAAAAAAAAATCTTCTTTTAATCACCAAACGAAATGTTACATAAAACGAAGCCATCTGATGGCGAAACGGAGTTCGCTGGGTTTGCTAGTTAATAAATAAATAAATATTTCCAACACTCACACTAATTAGCCTAGCCCCAAAGTAAGCACTGTAGGCTTGTGTTATGGGATACGGATATGATACATATATTATATAAGTATATTTGTATAGAAATACATATTAAACATCCATTACGGGAGTACAAATGCTCGTATTCATCACACATATATCTGCCCCCATCAGGACTCGAACCCGAGACCTCTCGAGTAGGCGACACCTTGAAATCCGGCGTACAAACCACTCGACCACGGATGTCGTCAATGGTGGAGCGCTGCTAACAAAAAAGTGGCTCCAGTTAAAACTAGGCCCTACCGTGTATGTACACAAATACACGCACACAGGTACAACGAAACTAAGCTCAAATATGTCAAATAAGCAACGAATTACGACATACATTATTTGGGCTCAGTTTTTGTATCTGTGTACGTGTGTTTGTGTACATATACGGCAGGGCCTAGTTTTAACCGGTGACACTTTTTTGTTATAGATGGGATAGGGAAAATAGTCGTACCTGAATCTTTCGTTTATTCATAAACTGGTTTCATACCACCAGAGGATATTAAATGAACATGATAAGCAGTATTTGCCTATTCTCATAAGCAAAAAAATTAATGACCCCATAAACAAATAGTTATAAATGTCAAATTAAAGAATTCATAAATGAAACATATTAACTATCGTGAAACATCTAAATAACAATTTAGATGTTTCACGATAGTTTACATATTCACGTCGTCCTAGAGGGGAGGGGAGAGGGTCTATTGGATGAGGATCGCGTTTGGACTGCGATCCTTCGCAATGACAGTCAAAGGATGATTGATCAAAACCTTATATCGATCTCCGTGCTTGAAAAGTCATGTCTAGCCGTTAGTACTACAAGACCAGTTGTATATTAATGTAATCGTTACCAATCGGGTATAGGTCATGGATGGCCCGTCCTCCCTTCTTATTCTATCCAAAGAAAAGGCCTATAGCTGTGGCCTAGCAGTGGGGATTAGTGTTGCCCAAATTCAGTCTTGGTCTTGTTCTTGCATTTTTGCAAGACCAAGAACAAGACCGCGTATTTTTAGCAAGACCAAGACCAAGACTGACCGTGCAAGACTTGAGCAAGAACTAGACTAATCCGGCAAGACTCTTGCGTCTTGCAGCTAGGACTTAGCGCTATTTCACGGAATAGTTGGGTATAACAGTTCGGTGTATAGGTACGCTTAGGAATTCTAATGAAACGCAAAAATCTGTATCAAAGAATATGACAAACTGGACCTATGCGTATTACGACCAATACCATAAACATACAAAGCGAATAAAAAAATATCCATTAAAATCAAACAGAGTGTATGCATTGTTTTGTTTTAACCATCGGCACTTTGATAATGCGGCATCAAAGGTTTTGTACTGACTTCTCAAATAAATTTGCCGCTTTTCGGAAGGACATGGTGATGATACACGCGCCGGCGGCTTCTATTGAAATCACATACAACAATCGTTGCCGCCGCGCCGAAATCACAACATTTGACACTATTTGATTGCCGCTACAGGGCCTAGGTATACTCATGCAAAATTCTAATTTCGTGTCGTGCCGTCCCACACGCTAATACTATTTAATATATGAGCGAGCGAGACGGTACGACACGAACTTCGATTTTCGAATTTAGAGTACAGGTGTTCCAAAGAATAAATAAGTTTCAGAGTGCTTAGAATGGAAACGAATACATTACACTGATCACGCAAATAGTATTATGATTAGATAATGGTAAGGATAGGTAATAGATGTCATTATAATTTATTCTAGTAAGTATATTTTATAATAATTGATTATATGGGTTTAAACTAATTACTTAGGTACTATTATTGTACATTTAGTCAAAATTTCTTAAGATTTTTCGAATTTCTTATCAAATCTTCAGACATTTATTAATCTGATTGGTCTTTACTATGGCTATGTTAATTCAAGCTCACAATGTTCCAATTCTAATACGTTATTCAAAGATCTAAAGTAAACTTTAATAAAAAGCAATAGTCTAATAGGTAATTGCAAGACTTGCAAGACTCTTGCTGCAAGACCAAGACCAAGACCAAAACTGGGAGCGCAAGACCAAGACCAGGTGTATTGGCGCAAGACCAAGACTGGCTAAGTCTCGTTTTGTTCTTGCATTTGGGCAACACTAGTGGAGATTATTAGACTGATGATGATTACGACTATTTCGGCGTTCATTAATTTATTTTATAGTGGTATTTGCTTTTGCCTATCGCCGCAGGCGCAAGCCTTAACAAAATGAAGGCCACCTGGTATTAGTTATTAAAGTTTTATATTCTCACCTGTGCTCTTCGGTATCTAGGCAGATTCACTTATTTAGAAACGGAAGTTGCAGAAAAATCTTTAATTTTAATATTAGATGTTATTAAGTTTTCTTTTAAGTTTTATAAATGTAGGTTGATGTGTCTTTGTTTTTACTTATCGCTAAAACACCTTCGCGCACTTTCACCGGTTGGTGAAAATCGTAAAATAAAATCATGTAACATTGGCAGAATCTGACATTAGTCGACTAATAAGCTGTCAGGGACACAAATTGGACGGATAAATCCCGACATGTGTAGTTGCCTTGACTTTAATTTATTGAAATGCCATTATGTAACATGATAGTTGAAACTTTATCGTCGTATAAGATTAGGATTTTAAATCAGCTAATACTATTTATATCTTTGAAGACCGAAACTGCAATGTTATTGTTAATATCCAATGTTATATCATAGTGATCATCACACCATTTAGGTACCTTAGTATTTCGCCAGGCTGTTGTTCTGCCTTCGAGAATTATGGAATTGAAAAGATTCTGGAGGACTTCGAGTATCGGCTGACCGCCCGCTTTCAGAATTTCTGCTGTGGTCCCATCATCTATCGCTGCCTTGTTGTTTTTGATTTGTTTGAGAGCCATACTAATCACATACTGGCTGACGTTCGGGATATCTTCGGTATTAGCTCCTGAGTAAAATTGGATCTGGGTTCTAGCCTTGCTTTCAACAGGTGCTTGCATGCAATATGGAGCTGTTAATCAAACCTCAATCTCCTTCAGCCTTAGACGAAATGATGCTACCGTTCTTTGTCAGACTTGAACTTCGTCAGTTGGCTTTGCCCAATAAACACTTTGGAGCCTTTGTTCCACTTGAAAGCCTCTTAAATACGATCCGTTTTAAATCGGCGAAGATCCCTCGTCACTGATATCTGTCTATTTAACCGCCGGTACTGCATTATCTTGAGATTAACAATAATATTCCTGTTCATCTCCTATTTTCACATTATCTCTATGCATTTTCACATTTATGATTATTTTTGATGATTATTAGTGTGAATGTATGAGTTATATTATATATCATACTGAACTGTTATACCTACTTACCATCAGACACACTAAAGTTTGCACTCTAATAGAGTGATTTGAATACAAGTTTTTTCTTTAAATTAACTAGGGATTGCTTTAACTTATGTATTCGTTAAACGACATTTATTGACATGACCACCGGTTTACCACCACAAACACTTTCCTGTGTTTTCCTCCAGGTCCTGAATTCCAATCCAAGTAGGCCATTAATTTGTGGGATGAACACTAATATTTCCTCCCGAGTCATGGTAGTTTAGGATACTTATTTGCCTTAGTACAAGCGCATAAGTAAAGAAAGGCGTGTTTGCGTGAGCTCTGGCCCCTGTCGCGTACGCAGAGAAACGTTTCAATTGGTGGTGACATGCCGTCAGTGCTCACTCACACACGCCCACTGTATGAAGATTTATCTCTGTGCCTCCTTTACTCATGTGGTACTGTGCTCACTTTGGAACTAAATAATTGTAGTGATTTGAATAGAGGTAGGACTTTGCACATATGCCGCGCGAATTGGAGCGCCAGTCTGGGGAAGTAACCTCCACCTTACAGAAGACCACAGTAAAATAACACTACCATTTGGTGGTGTTGTGTTTCTGTCGGTGAGTAAGGTTCCAGGGCTCCACGGGGAGATTGGGTCAGGGTAGGCAACGGCGCGAGTGATGATATTTGTACGGGTCTATAGGTTAAGGTGGCGGCTTACCATATCATGCGGGCCATTTGTTTGTTCCCCACTCTTTTAACATTAAAAAATGAGTTGTCCAGAATGATGACTGTTGTTTCTCAACTTTGCCACCAGGTACGGGCGAGTCGGGCAAGTCAACATTCATCAAGCAGATGAGAATCATCCACGGGTCCGGCTACAGCGATGATGACAAGCGCGGCTTCATCAAACTCGTGTACCAAAACATCTTCATGGCGATGCAGAGTATGATACGCGCCATGGACTTACTTAAAATACAATACGGAATTCCGTCCAATGCAGTAAGTATGCCGTACCACATCTACCGCCTTATTACAAAACGTAGACTAAAGTTTAAACCTGGACAAAAACTGATGCTGCCACTTTTGTTTGCTAAAAAGACGACAGAGACAGCATGAGGTATAAATTAAGGCTAACTTTAGTCCATGTTTTACAATATGGGGAATAAGGTTTAAACTTAAATTTCTGCTCTTGAAAGGCATCCTAGGCCTTTAGGGAGTTTGGTGGATATGATGATGTCATCTATTTTTTTATAGCTAGGTAGGCAAGTGACTACCCCACCTGATGTTAGGTAGTGGTAAAGTTAGACGCAAAGATAGCTGATGCAGCTTGCCAGTCTGCAGAAATTCTTCTCCACGCCTCTTAAAGGACCCCAGATAATCTGGACATTGTCAAGGCCAGAGTGAACAGGCATCTTCTAGGAAGGCGTGTACCATCCTAGGCCCCATCATAGCTTTCCATCAGGCGAGATTGTGGTCAAATGCCTTGCCTATTAAGCATAAAAAAAGATTGTAGGAAGGAGAACACATGCACGGGCAAATAATTCCACTTGCGAATAGTACGACAAAGTAAATAAAGAGTAAATTTTAGCTTTTTGAACAATTACAGGAACAGGCGGAGTTGATATCATCGATCGACTTTGAAAGTGTTACAACCTTCGAGAGCCCGTATGTGGAGGCTATCAAGGCTCTATGGGCCGACTCCGGAATTCAGGAGTGCTACGACCGCAGGCGAGAATACCAGCTCACCGATTCAGCCAAATAGTAAGTGCCTTCTTAACACATAAAAAAATATATTAATTGCTGTCTTGTTCTCATCCGTCTTACATTATGAAGGAAATTAAAATCCAAATTGTTTGTAGTAGTATACTTACCTACATACAGAATGAATTGAGCGAAACTCGCACGAAGTAAATAACTTCCTAGAAAGAGAGCAAAGGTACAATATAAACAGTCAATTGCTATAAGAACTAATGGCTGCACGATCGCTTCCTCTCTCTCAAATTTATCTGCAGAGTTTTACTTTACATTTGAATAGAGAACGAAACGAAAATCTGTTCATTTTCCATGTCTACGGATGCGATTTGATAAAAGAAAAATGATTTTATGCGCTTTTTTAATAATCTGCGTTCGAATCGTAGAAGTCCCACGTTGCACATCATGTGGCAGCAAGGGAGCCATTATTCAGTATTGAGCCACTAGGTGAAGCGGAGCTTATTACATAATTTCATTTATGTTGAACTGTGCTACTTTATGTCAGTTTACTTTTATAAGTTTATACTTTAGCTAATATATGTACGTAGCAATATGATTGTGCAATGATCGATTCGATCGTACCTTTGGGCTCTGCAACCTCTTCAATCGTTTTCATTTATCTTAATTTCGAAATACAATGTGTGTTTATCCATCAGTAGCAGTATATTTGAATATACTGCATATCTAATAAAATGATCCAAGTTATTACGTTACGATGGTGCAGTAGTTTAACTATTGATGTCCCATAAACACTTCTATCAAACATGTGAATGGGTTATAATGCACTAGTGATTTAGTTCCAAATTCGTGAATAAATGTTATTTTACTACGGGCACCTACATTAGTTTATAAAACTATCCGGTACTGACAATCAGATGATTGTAACGATTACCTTATGGATATCACAAGCTATTCAATTAGAACTACATATGTGAGTAATACTGCATGAACACTGCAATAGGTAATAGTTTTAATATGAATAATGATATAAACCAGCTTGGAAATCGTTACCCTAAGTCGATGGCTTTGCGATGTCTATGGATGAATCGTCAAATATTTAGAATTATGCCCTTCGAAGTTAGATCATTAATCCTTACTATGGTACAAAATTTGAGCATAATATGTGTCATAGGCCTATTATGCGGTTTGAAAAAAAACGGATTAACAATCTCGTGCAGTAGAAAAAACTTGTGTGTCCAAGTGAAAAAAAAGACGCCAGTTTGTAATATTTTTTAAAGTTAATAATGCTATACTTATAGTTGATGTTCTCGCAACATAATAATATGCACAAGGAATGAATAATGAAGATTTGTTATTAAGATTTTAAGATTATTATAGATTAGGCTATGGACGGCAGTGTGCCTTCGCGTGGACCATTTATGCTCCTTTGCTTCTCTCTTCACATAAAAAACGGAAAATATTTAAAGAATCACCAAAAAATAAATACAAAAGATTAGGTTACGTTAGCAGTTGTATTTTTTGGTGATCATTTACTATTTATGGTGATCGATCATTCAAAGACGAACCAATAAACCAATGAGTTAATGGCGACACTAAATAAGACTGAGAAGTATATCTGTCTCATCTGGTGAAATGCACCTCTGATGCTTTGCAAACCCAAAGCAAAGAGGTAAAAGTATGTCAGCCTTATTACAAAATCTAGACTAAATGGCAATAAATGAATATGAATAAAGTTAGTTTTGGTTAAAACCTAATGCTGTCTTTGTCTTATTATTAGCAATCAAATGAGAGAGTATTAATTTTAGACCGGGCTTATCTTTAGTCAACGCGTTTTGTAATAAGGGTGTGTATGTTTTTCGTCACTTGGCTTGTCGTATTTAGGATTGAGAGTATCCTTTTCTATAGCTACTTGCAGGAGATAGACCGCGTAGCCGCTCCAAACTACTTACCAACCGAACAGGACATCCTCCGCGTTCGAGTCCCCACAACGGGTATCATAGAATATCCATTTGACTTGGAAGAGATACGATTTAGGTAAAAGGATCTGATGTGCATAACGCATGCTTTGCCATCGGTGCATGTTATGTGTCAAGGGGGCTGTGATTGTATTTATGTTGAATGTTTTATTTTTGTCTCTGTTTCTCTCTTTAGGAGTTTACTGTTAATCAGCCATCTTTTTAATCTAGCTCTTAAGCTGGTGGTTATAAAGTTTTAAATTGTGTTGGAAACAGTAAATTCTTAAAGTCGCATGACAATGCTTTGTTGGATAATGCATGATATTTCAGCTACTTAAGCGATCTGGCAAGGATCGAGAAAGACGACTATTTGCCCACTGAGCAAGATATTTTGAGAGCTCGACAGCCCACTACTGGCATTCTTGAATACCCTTTCAATCTTGACGGAATAATATTTAGGTATGTGATGATATTGAGACATAAAACATTGCCCTGTTAAACCGCCTAGTATTTTTACTCTAGCTAGTAGTGAATACTAAATTTGGGGACTTCTAAGGTATTTTATAAAAAAAGCTAGTATTGCACAAATTCAGAATATATTAAACACAAAATTAGCATGTCTTTTAATTATTCTTATTATCACGGTTGATTGATGGCTGCTTAAATTAACTATTATATAAATCTGTTATTATCTGGTCAGAAGATTTGAATAATTTTATGACGAAGTTTAATAATTTATTTTCTACCAAACAGTTGTTGGTTTAGATGGCAAAAAATTACATGTTTCATATATCGTATAAGTGTTTCTGTGTTAAACACAAAAATATTTATGATCCTGAGTTATAAATTATGATAAAGTTTGTCCTTTTTCTAATGCTGTCTATTAAATAAAATAATAAAGGATTCCGTTAATATGAATCAATGACATTGTTTTGTACTCATTATATATTGTCGTGCTAATTATCTTGAGTAGTAGTAACTAGTAGTAGTAGTGCTACAGTAGTTTGTAAAACTAAACTTGCCGCATTTTCCTTTTATTTTATATGTATTTATTTTTGTCAATGTGTTTTTTAGACAATACCTCAAATATTTATGCTATGGCTATTTATTTTCTTTGATTACTCTTTTGTGTTTTATTTGGCTTTGTATCATATTAACCTTCTTTGTATATTAAGAAAAAAAAAATTTTTTGCGTTAAATGGAAAAAAAATATGAGAAAATAAATCCAAATTCATACAGTAAGTAACATCAACCAGTCATAGTTAGCATGTATGCTCTAAATATTGCCCGTCGCTTCAGTGAATGTGAATCATTTTTATGTGTATTTCCCTTAATACTACTGAACAATGATAAGGCAAGATAAAACTATCATAACTAATTTTACCGTAGTATAACAAAATCACTGAAGTTCATTTACTATTTTAATTGTAACACCAGTTTTAGCGTCATCAAAATGTAGTCTGCGCGAATCACTGACAACAATGATTTTGTTATAAAATTTTGTGTAACCTTTTGTGTGTCTGTTTTCTAATATAAGTAAATTAGAAGATTTTTTTGCTATATTAAACATATTTACCTTTATTAAGCACTGCTTTCTTATTTATTATTTATTTATTTATTATTGAAAAACAGCTATTTATGCATAGCAAAGTATATAAGCTTCTTCCTATCTGTTGTTTGATTTGATTTTAAAACATAATGTTCAAATGACTTATTCATTTTGTAGTAGGTTTTATTTCAATTTTTACTAATATAAGCTGAGGTTTCAAATGTTACACATCATACGCGACTACTGTAAGGCTCGCTCGTTTTTTAATTAAAGATATTTATTTCACGATTACTGTCCCAGACTGCTCAGTTCAAGGCTCGAATCCCGTTATTTAATAAACATTTTCCTACTCATATGTTGACATTTCTTTAAGTCAATAATGTCATTTTTGATTGATTAAAAAGTAAAACCTCTGTATAAGTATATTTAGATATGTACGTAAAAATTCAGAGTTATGTTAACCTTAATTCTGATTTTACCTGTAATATCATGTCATGTGTCAGTTATGGAATTAGTCTTATTGCTTAATATTAAAGTATTACTATATTTAAAACATCACAAATATTTAATGTAGGTATGCATTTAAATTAAGGCCTTAAAATATCCCTTTCATTAATGGTGACTTTGAATATTTAAACAAAGTCCTAATGTTTTAGACTGCCCAATCCAAAGCAATTTAGACAATTTTGCTTGTGATGTTGAATATATTTAAGTTACTAAAACTGTATCTCTCAAACAGAATGGTAGACGTCGGGGGCCAAAGATCCGAGCGAAGGAAGTGGATCCACTGTTTCGAAAACGTCACATCAATCATATTCTTAGTAGCTCTTAGTGAATATGATCAAATTTTATTCGAATCAGAAAATGAGGTGAGTGAATATGTTACAGATCTGTTAAATCTCAGTGTGTCATCTTATTTTTATCATGTTATTGCACTCATGCCCCAAAACCGGAAAATATCTGTTCTATACTAAATTTATTTTTTATCATTTATTCCATACTAGCTATAGCTTTATCAAGTATATTTAGGATAGAATTCCAATTGACACAACGGTAACAAATTTCGCGGTTAGCATTTGCTACCTACCTACATATATCTCCGTGTTAGTTTCCTATTCCGCTTGATGAAAATGCTTATCGATTTCTATTTTATAATTCCAGAATCGAATGGAGGAATCGAAAGCTCTGTTCAAGACGATTATCACGTACCCGTGGTTCCAGCATTCGTCCGTCATCCTTTTCTTGAACAAAAAGGACTTGCTTGAAGAGAAGATCATGTACTCCCACCTTGTCGACTACTTCCCCGAATATGATGGTAAATATCGATTTTGCAGTAAATATTTGGTGCCTTTATTTCTTGGGCCACCTTGTCCCACTGCTACCTGGTGAGAAAATGAGTTGCTTAAATTTGAAAACATTTTGACAACCTTACTGCATTGAACTTTTGGTCTGACATACTCAAAACAAATATAATTTTAGCATATTGAAATTTCAATATCGTGCACGCGAGTTTCAGAAAAGTTATCAACTTTGTGCATAAAATTTTAATTCAATAAAAAAAAAACAATTTTTTGACAGCAGACCCTGTTTAACTTCAACAATTAACAATGTGTCATTTGAAAGAGCTCAAATTATATTTGTAATATCTTTTAAATTTGATTTTGAAGGTTGTAAATCTAAACTGTCAGATTGGAAGATGTTATGTATGATTAGATTTGAAATTAGGCAACTAGTGAAATACCAAAGCTTGCAGGTTCTAACCCCGTCAGAAGCAAATTCGTTATAAATCCAATGGCAAAATCAAATCGTTAAGTATTTTATAGCTATTATTTATCTTTTTTATATGACATGTAGGTCCAAAGTTCGATCCCCCACCAGCAATGGACTACATTCTACAAAAATATCTCAAAGAGAATCCTGACCCAGACAGGTCGTGTTATTCTCATTTCACCACTGCCACAGGTTGAATTAAGTTACTGTAAATAAGCTAGATATAACAAGTAGTTGAGTTAGATAGTGTGTTAATAGTTATACATATGACGCTAGATAGTGTTTAAATTGGAGTGAATATTCTGAGTAAGTATTTCAAAAAGCGCCTACCCTGTTAAAGCCCTAGTTGAGACATGGCGGAACCGCGAGAGGCTTATTCTAAATGCCTTTATAGATGACGCGAGTCACGCGCGTTTAAATGTTTATTGATCCGTATTCTGAATGGATTGTTCTTATTTAGCCTTATAATCGCGCAATGAACTACGTAACAGGAGCTCTGCTCTCTTTCTCCTAAACGAAATTTCGGTAACGAACGAATTTTAAACGAAATTTCGCCAATAAGTCTTCTCTATTTCATTTTCGAACACGCACATAAAGTTCGGGATGGAATGAGTCATGTTTGTGAGTTCTTTTATCTCCACTTTTTAGATTACCTGTTTTACTTGGAAACAGTATTACTTTACTACAAAATGTTTGATGGCATTAAAAGAACCTTCTTTGACAGTGTTAGCCGACTAATTTGTAGAGTTGATGCACTTCATTAAATGTCAACCTAAATTTGTCGTTTAATACTTTGAAGTATTGGAAATACAGTAATTAATTAAAATTTGGTGTATTTGTTAATTTGACATGCTAAAAAAAGTTCCTCATGCTAAGCAGCCTTGATTAAAAATACTCTTACAGTCATTTAGGCTTAATTTAAACAAAAGTTCCAAAACGAAAATGAAAAGGTAACACTTTTCATTTCGTTAATTTGAGGTTAAAATTTCAAACAATTATGTGTCTAATTCAACTTTTAGTTTCAAAGTTTTGTGAATTAGAGTAGGCTCGGAGAATTTAATTGTCAAACTATTTTCGGACGAACGAATTTTCGAAATGAAAAGGAAACAGAGTAACGTTTCTTAAAACGTGCGAAATTTCGATCGAAATTTGGTTTTTCGTTGAAATAGAGTAGGCCTCCTGGTGTGAATGGCGCGCAAAAATTCTATATAACTTGTCATAATTGTATGGAATTACAATTGATAAATCCAATCGCCGGCGCCGTTAAGTTTGAATCGCATTCTACTCGAATATTTATCACCATAAAGTCAGCCAGCTTAAAGTATTCAAATGGCTAGTACGCAGTAGATACAGCCAGTGTGGTACACAGGTCCGCAGCGCGACGCAATCACGGCGCGCGAGTTCATACTGCGGATGTTCGTCGACCTCAATCCGGACGCTGAGAAAATCATCTACTCGCATTTCACTTGCGCGACAGGTAAGAGATACACTTACACGGAAATATAAATAAACACACAAAATTTGAAGAAACGGCATGCAGGCATACGCCTGCACGTCAGAAATAAAAAAAACACTAAGAAAATTAAAAAGGCAGTCGACAGAAGTTGATTTTAGTAAAAAAAATCATTAATTGCGCCGATTCAATTAAAGGTAATGGTTATTATATTCTATATATATTACAAACAATTTGATGAACACATATGTAAAAAAAATATATAAATTTATCCACTAAAATTATATACGTACGTCCATACATGCACATTCACAAACGCACACACATCGCGCGTCAGCCACCCGAGTTCGACGTCATTTTTTAAGTGCCCAAAGTGCCTTCAAAATTTAACTTTGTCAACAAACATGTATGTCGGCGGTGGCGCACGGCGTACTCAAGAATACTTACGGCCTAACTGAGGCACTTCGCACACAGATCGTAAGCGTAGTTGTATCGTAAGCGTATAGTTATAACGCTACGAGAACGAGACCTGTGTTCTACAAACGAGTCGCGTAAACGTGTTTTCAGTTGTAGTCATGGCGTCACCGGTCCTATTATATTATATTTCTTACCTATACAGTACCCTTTGCACGAACCAATATCGAATTCGAATAGTTTGCGAGTGCGAAATGTCAATGTCAATTGTGTACTGATTTTTAGTTCTCGTTACGTCCGTTATTGCGCTGCTGTTCAAGTTTTCATACAAAATTTGACAATGACATTTCGCACTCGCAAAATATTGGTTCGTGTTAAGGGTACAGTTTATTTTTAACGATATTTCCGACCAAGCATTTTCCGTAACATCTTTCCTTGAAGATTATCTATACTTTAGTGCAAAAACGTTAGCCACAAGTAAATGAAGGCATAACATACCATCGATACGCATTATTGATGTGTAACATCTTTCCTCTCGCTTTCTTGCAATTTGTGGGAGTGATTTCGTGAAATGGGACGGAAGTGTGTAACAGGAAGTCCCGGTAGCGCGCGCTATTTGATTTGATTTTAGAACATAATTTTCAAATGGCTTATTCGTTTTGTAGTAGTTTTTTTTTTACTAATATAAGGTGAGGTTTCAAATGTTACACATCGTACGCGACTACTGTAAGGATCGCTCGTTTTTTTTTTAATTATTTTAACTGTAATTCAATAATCCAATTGAGTTGCCATTTGCATGATGAAAAACAAACTAAATTCAACTTTATTGCATACATACATAAAGTCGATTCACAAATTTGTTCTAGAATTGTCCATGGCATTCTGTTTTATTCTTATTCCGGAAATAGCTCTATTAGTGTTGTGCGTGCATAATTTGAGTGTAGTATCGATAAGTCCTTATATCGATTTATCGTAACTACATTATATAAATATAGCAAAAGTATATTTATAGATAAGTAACGTCTTTATAATCGATGATATATCAACATTAAATATAGGAATAAATTACACATACTTACAACAAAACTTACAACAAGTATAACATTGAGAATGACTTTGACTTATTCTTAACAAGCCCAGCGACAATCAGACGAACTATAGGTTCGAATTATTTAAATAGGCATTAATTAAATAAGTGTGTATGCTCAATATTCAAACTGGCGTCAATAATTGTTAAGTCTGATAAATATATTATGAAGCATATATTAGTAAGCATTTATAGTAGGATGAAAGATTGTTAGATAGTTATAGTTGTATAAGCATGTTTAATATGTGGAGGGTTTTAATTGGCTTTTAGATATTGTTTTTTGTTTATTTAATAAGTGATTGATAGCTGTAAACCTTCCTAAAATAAAATAAATAAATACTTTTTCAGTTATCCTAAGATGATTATATAAATGCGTCGGGGAGACCAAATTGGTTTCCAAGTTTTAAAAGCACTGTATGCTCAGTGCATTTCAAAGATGACGATTTCGTCATTACGAAAAGTGGTAAAAGATATCTAGAGTTTGTCTAATTAATCGTGAACTTTTTGTATATGGCAATATTAGAACTGTCACTGACGTTACGATTTAGCGAGTTGTTAGGTGGGTTTGGATACTTTCGTTTATATTTTTTTTTACCCCACTCGGCGTCAAAAAATCGCATCTCCGCGAAAATAACTTTATTATAACCCGTGACACACGAATTTACCCCTACCAATATTGGTGTCATTTGAAAGCCCATTGAATAAACTTAATAAAACAACAACAAATTATTTTTTATCGTAACAGTGCAAAAAAACAATAAAAATCCTTAATTAAAAACAGATTAATAACAGAAAAAAAATTACAAAAAGGTTCTTAAAACTAACTTAAAACCTAGTATGACCCCTTCCCCTTGCCCGGATGACGGCTTCCACACGCTCCCTCATGGATCTTAACAATTTTAGGAGCTCTTCTTGAGGGATACTGGCCCATTTCTCAATAACGGCCTCTTCGAGAGTCGTGGGAGCGGGATCACGAGACCGAACCTTGCGTTTTAAATTATCCCAGAGGTGCTCTAACGGGTTCAGGTCTGGACTTCTCGCTGGCCTCTGCATGACAGAGATCCCAACCTCTTGAAGATAGTTGCGCTCAATTAATCCAGTGTGAGCGCGAGTGAATTAATGTGAACCCCTCGCCAAGCAAAGCGACATAGGGGACCACATGCTCTTCCAGGTTCTCGATGACGTACCGGTGAGCAGTCAGCGACCCTTGCCCGCGACCACCTCCAGTCCGAGGGCGCTTTAAAGGCCGGTTTTGCCGTCGGCCGACATGCCGCCCCAAAACATACAGGAACCGCCCCCGTATTCCACCGTCTACTGGATGCAGACTTGCGCGAAACGTTCTGGTTTATACAGAAAAACCACAGACAATTGCCTTCCTCAAGACTAATATAAGTCGTGTTCTTCATGAAATTTCTCCATCCAACCTCATTTATTTAAAAAATGTCATCCTAAATTGTTCCACCAGGATACACATCTATAACAAGCGTCGTCGTGGCCAGTTGGGTAAAATTATGTTCCAAGCCCATGTCCCTTAAAATAAAATTGTACCAGTATCGCTTCAACAGTTTGTTTTATTTCGTTTTAAAGTTCAAAAGCTCTTAATGAAAAACCTTATTAAGCTGTGAAAAAAAATCGTTCCTTTTTTTGGAAACTTGATATTTTTATCTTGAACGAACCCTTTACACAGAATAAAAAATATTCTTTATCTAAAGACAAGAATTCCAAGACTAAGCTTATGGTAGCTGTGAAAACCTTATATATATATATTTGAATACGTTTACTAGTTTAGCAAGATACCACGTGTAAGTATTTCAGGCACGATAAATCACCTTTTTTATTGTTTGGTCCTTTTTATATTTTTTATAAAATAAAAGAATAAAATCAATTTAAATTAGATACTGTTTCATTTTTCCTTCAATCGTGTTTAAACGTTATTTAATTTTATCGATAAAAGGACAAATTTTTCAAACACTAATCGAGAAGCGAGTTGCGTTCAACTTCCAGTTGGAATTTTATGTTTTAAGGGATACGGTGGTAAATCACATTAGCTAAATATAAAATACGACATCTAGCGTCGAGTAGAAACAGTAAAATTAATTAGTTTTAAATTTATTCTTGTGTTTCTACTTGACGCTAGAAGGCGTACTTTATATTAGTTTTCTTTTTTGTGTTAGATTGCTAAAGAAGTAAGGTTGAATTAAAATCGTCAAAAAATGTGTCTTATGCTGATTTGCTTCTAACCTTTGTGAGTGTTATGAGTATTACCCAGTTAGAGGCGTAGCTTTAGTTTTTAATGTGGTAGTTTTGGTTACACTGGTTTTGGTACTGAAACGATATGATGCTACTTCTACTTTTTTTTTCTGTTCTGTGACAATAATCATTTCTTAAGATTCGCTGCAACATCGCTTTATATGCGGACTTCTTTGAAAATATACGCACTCGTATTGCTCTCGTCGCACACGCGTATACGCTTACCCTACGATGCCGTGTGCGAAGGGGCTAAAACTTGAATACTTGTCAAAGTGATGTTTGCTTATTCTGTTGCTATCACAAAGGAAGTTACAGTATCAACTTTAATACAACTTTAAAAATAAATGAAATCTCTGTGTGCGGTCGATAGATATTGTTTACGTTTATATGATAATACTACAGAGGCCCATCAAAGTTTCTATGAAAACCTAAGCAGCGAACCTTTCGGACGTAAAAACAAACTAGCTTTTTCCTTACAAATTTTACTATTACGTTACTTTACGGAGCTGTCAAAAACTCGTGTTTGGGCCTCAGTACTCACGTCATTATAGCCGATGTGCTGTGCCGCTACCACTGCGGTGCAATATGTACCCAAAGATCCTAAGGTTTTTAGGAACTGAATATAAGACATTTTCTGAGATAAAAATCTATGTTGCATTTTTAATATTCAACCATTTCTATTTTGTTCGATAACAAAAGCCGGACACTGGTCATCTGACATGAATATGTCGTCATTCGTAAATTGATTGAATAATAAATAAATAAATATTTCCAACACTCACACCAATTAGCCTAGCCCCAAAGTAAGCACTGGAGGCTTGTGTTATGGGATACTAGAGTAACGAACAGAATACATATATAAGTATGTTTCTATAGAAATACATATTAAACATCCATGACTGGAGTAAAAATGCTCGTATTCATCACACAAACATCTGCCCCCTCCGGGATTCGAACCCGGGATCTCTTGAGAGTAGGCGACACCTTGAAACCCGGCGTACAAACCACTCGGCCACGGAGATCGGCATGATAATTACCGATTAACAGTTACAGTTCTACGTGAACTTATAAAGGATCGCTTACACAAGCGCTTTTTCTTCTTGCGTTTAAATCATATCGTTAGCTATCGACAGTATTTTCAACTTTACACCCAACGCCCAGCGTCGAAAATGCAGCATCAGCTGATACAGATAAACAGTGCCATCGATCGAACACTAGGAGAAGTGATAATGTTTAGAAACGCCGGCCCAAAACGCTCCTATGTAAGATTCTT